CTTTTCCATTACAGCTCATTACAAGAGATTGAATATAGTTCCCTGTGCTACATAGTAGGTCCTTGTTGTTTATCTATTTTATATAGAGTAATGTGTGTATATGTACTTTTAATTACTATTGTGACATATCTTTTAAATTATTTTTGTACTTTTCCTTTAAATACCTTTGTAATAGTTTTAAAATAAAAATAAATATTATTATCTTAATAAAAATGATGCCTCTATGTATATCCATAAGTTATGAGAATATCATGATATTGTCTACACACTTGATTAATTTAAAAGTATTGTGGACAAATCATCAGAGACGAAATTGAATCATCAACCACATTTACCTCCAGGAAAGGCACGGTGCTACGTTTTGAATCTTAAAAGTCTATTTGCAGTGCATTAATATAATACATGACATATAATACAATAGCAGCTACACAACAAAAGTCAACTCCATAAGATGAGTGGAATCTGTATACCAAGTTTATAGAGAAAGAACCAAAAACCTACATATGAAGAACCAAACGCCTTAAAGTTTTATTTTTCTGTCATGAGGAAAACACTCAAGAGGCACGTGTAAATTAGAGCATGCAGAAATTGAACTACTGAGTCCCACATTTTACCACCTAACATCAGACTTGACATGGCAGGAGGATACTTGGTGGAGAAGGCTTCAAAATACTTGCACCTGACTCTAATACTGGACCATAGCATTGGTACTCAAAGAATGGCTCACAGACCAACCTGCAGAATCAGTATTAACTGGGAGCTCGTTATCAATGCAGAATCTCTGGGCCCATGTTAGATCTCTTATGGCAGAATCTGCCTCTGAACAAGATTCCCAAGTGATTCCTATGAATCTCCTATTGACGTTGGAGTTGTCATGATTTGTTTGTCATCTCCTCACTGTTGACAATTGTGCTGGGTAATTCTTTGTGGTGGGGACCACCCTGCGCATGGCAGGATGTTGACTGACATCCCTGGCTCAATTCGCTGGGTGGCAGTAACACCAGTTGTGACAACCAAAAGTTTCTCTAGACAGTGTCAATATTCTTTGAAGGCAGATCATCCCATTTGAGACTCACTGGCCTAGAGCATGAGAACTGGAAAACTTGAAGGAGTTCCCATCAAAGCCAGTCCCTTTCTCAGTTCAAAACTTATGGCAGATCACCTAACCCTTCTGAGCCCTGATTCTGCAAATGTAAAGTGAGATTCATAGTAGTACTGACCACGCAGAATGGATTTTTATAAAAAATAAAATAAGACAATCCGAATAAAATTCTAATCTCAGTTCATGGTGCATAAAAAGATCTAGATTTATCTTATAATTAAGCTTTTTAAAAAAGAGAATGAATAAATGACAGCTCTAAATTAGAGTTACAAGCATGAATCTCCTAAGTGATTTGTCAGAAGTCACATGAAGCCAAGGAATATGTATATATATTTTGTAGCAAACAAACACACCTTCTCTCTCTTGTTCAAGTAGGTTCACCAATGTTATGGGGTATCAGGAGCTATACTCCCTGGAGAAAGACAATAATTTGGAAGACCATGGAACCTAATCAAGACAGGTTCCTCAGCTGCAGATAGGAGAAAATATTAACTCAAGGTCAGGACAAAGTGCAAGACTTGTGAATGGCAGGCGAGTTCATTAGAAGAAGTAATAGAAACTGAATTCTCCTGACTTCTAACCTGGTCTCCTGGGAACAGAATAAAGCAGGAAAAATTGTCTTTGTTTCCAGTGTCCCACAGGGAAGTGATGCACTCAGGGGTGAGAGTAGCAACGGAAATTTTGCCTAATGAGCAGACATGGAAAGTGGTAAATATCTCCCCTGCTGCAGTCTCTCAGGCTGGACTATCTTGGGCTGAACAGGACCTGGTTGTTGTGTTTTGGGGTCCTAAATCTGACTGAGGGACCAATGCTTCACTCCTTCCTTCTGACCTACCTGGGAACAGAGCTTCAGTCTACATCATCAACCACCCACAGAGGAACTCAGATATCTGCACAGAGATTTCCCACACATAGACCCCATCCAGGTGAGTCTGAGAGTTCAACAGGTACTTCAGAAAAGGTTCAGAGAGAACGGAAGTGGCAAACTCTTATCTGAAGTCACCTCTGAGCCTAATCAATCTGCCCCAGACCCAAGATATTTGCCATATTTGTTGGTCAAGGTTACTAATGAACATACAGTTCATTTGTTTAATATGTTAAAAAGAGAAGTGTCTGTTGGACTCTGCAATGCCAGGGTCGTTGTTGACAATTAAGTGATGGGAATGGAAGCCCAGTTGAATGAAAATGAGAAAGGAATTGGAAGTGTAAAGTGTTTCCCGTAAAATTAGAACCTATTAGAGGAGTTCTGCAGTTAAGGGGAGTAAGAAAATAGAGTACTGGACTTGGAGGCATGTGCAGTGACCTAAAGGCATTTTTTTCCCCCAACTTTTTAGGAAGGGATGTATTTAAGCATGTTCTGTATCTATCAGAAAGACCCAGACTCATGGAGGTCGATACTAACATGCAAGTGTTCTTGAGACATACATTTCACAGTATCTTCTCTCACCTTGGGTATTCATATGAAAAAACTGTATTTAATATGCAAAATGGATATGCTAAGGAGATTTACTTTGTAACTCTTCATTACCCAAGAGGCAGGGAAGCAATGGAGACATTTTCCAGGTAGAAGAAAAAAAAAATCAGCCAAATCTCATCACCAGTGACAATCATTCACTTAGTAACATGAAAACACTATGCTACGTTTTTCACATATATTGACTAAATTTGTCTGCCAACCTAGGAAGATGGATATCACTAACCCCACTATTTGAGTACGGATATTAACATTTACAATGGATCTGTAGTCTCACTAAATTCAAACAGCTAATATATGGTAGATCTGAGATTCAAAAATTGGTTTTATGATTCAAAAGTATTTTTGTATTTAAGATCATTTACAAAAGTCTTTTACCATTTACATTTTAAAGTCTCATCTGTTTTTGTACATTGTATATTTTCTGTTGTTAATTTTTCTAACATAATGATGTCTAATAATTTCTAATAATTTTCTAACAATAATTGTTAGTTTTTCTGGTGCCATGTTCAACCAGTAAGATGTCTTGATTTTGTAAAGAAATGGCTCCTTTCTCCTTCGATAAATTGTTTTAGGCGGCTCTATTAGGTATTCTGGGCGTCAAGGAGATATAACTGAGGTTGGACTCCAGCCAGAACCAGTGGAGCTTTCTCCTCATCACAATTTCTCAGGTACCACCTGAGCTTATTAAATCTTGTTTTGTAGATGGAGGGGTTCAGCATGGGGGGGACCATGTGTGTAACACCCAGGCCATCAGACTTCTAGAGGGTGAAGTGCCTGAAGAAATGAGGTAGACATACTCCAAGTCCTGTGCACTGTAACAAGGCAGCCACCAAGAGATGTGACCCACAGCTGGACCTTGTTTTCCTCCACATGTCCTTTTCTTTCTTGTCTCTCTAATTTTTTTGACTGGTTTTTTTTCCAGTTTATTTTTTAATACAGGGCACAAAATGGTCATATTAAAATGAAGCTTCACAGGAGGCTTACCAACTTGAATTTGGGTTTCTACGTTCTCTAGGATAAAAACAATTTGATGTTGGCAACTTGCCTGGTATCATTCCTTTCCTAATGCTTGTGGCTGGAAGTGAGAAGAGCCAGGGAATAACAAGCCCTGTAAGTCATAATGTGCTGTACGTGTGTGTGTGTGTGTGTGTGTGTGTGTATGTGTGTGTACATGCGTGTGTGTGTGTGTGTGTGTGTGTGTTGTGGGGAATAAGCAGTTCTCTGGGCAGTGGTACTAAGTTTACATACTCCAAAATGTGACCCTTAAAAGGCAGACACCGTGATGTTAACCAACATAAGGAAATAAAGATAGGGCCCATTTCTATTCACAGGAATCATTTAAAACAAAATAAAAAATGTGAAAAGAACGACACGTGAGTGAGGGACTCCCTGTGTCTTGAAGGTTCAGCCGCAGCAGGGAGGCCACCTTGCTCTTCAACCCTCTCTGACACCGTCTCTCCTCACTCTTCCTCTTGCTCGTTCCCATGGACACGTTGGTTTCCTTTGGAGTCTTGAATATTTGAAACAAGTTCCATCCTCAGGACCTTTGCACTGAGTCTTCCCCCAACAGGGC